AAATACGATATAGCTATCCATTTATTCAAGTCTCTTTCTAGGTTCTTTAAAAATATTTTGTAATTTTCTTCAGAAAGCATATCTTTCATGAGATTTATCTATCCCTGGATACTGGATTATTTTTGTTGTGAATAGTATACTTTTTCTTTTCTTTTTTTTTTTTTAGGATTTTATTTTTAAGTAATCTCTACACCCAATGTGGGGCTTGAACTTACAACCCTGAAATCAAAAGTCATGTGCTCTACCAACTGAACCAGCCAGGCACCCCATTAGTATGTTTTTTCTATCAGATTTCCTTGCTGAGCTTTAATATTAGTTATAATAGTTTATCAGGTTTTTTTTTTTAGATTTTCTATATAGTAACATATGATCTGCAAATAAACGGAGTTTTGTCTCCCCAACCTTCAATTCTTATACCTCTTCTTTCTTTCCTTATTTATTGTATAGGTTAGGACCTTCAGTACAGTGTTGAGTAGAAGCACAAGCATCTTCGTCTCATTCTTGACTTTAATGGTAATGCTTTGAAGTTTTACTATAGAAGGGACTTGAACACTAAGATTGATGACTTTTGTCAGGTTCAGGACATTGACTTCTGTCCCTATTTTCTTTTAAAGTTATGAATGAGTTTGAATTTCCTTAACTCTTCATTAAGAAAATTAAAACACACACAAAAGTAGGCAGAGCAGTATAATAAACTTTTGCCTGCCCATTACACAGCCTCAATAGTTGCTAGCTCACGGTCAGTCATGTTTTATCTGTACCTTTGCTAACTTTTCCACATTTGGTACCATTTGAAACAAATGCTAGACATTACATCATGTTATCTGTAAATATTTCAGTCTGAATCCCTAAAAGATAGTAATTCTTAAAAAAAACTATAGTACCATGATCAAACAAATTTAACAATAGTTCTTTCTCATTATTAACTATATTCTCCATGTTTACATATCCAGTTATATGAACATTGAATTTTAGTAAATATCTTTTCTGAATCTATTGTGTTAAGTTTTTTCCTTTAATCTGTTAAAGTAGTGTACTTTTATAGATTTTCTTATGTTGAACCATTCTATTCTTGAATTACTAAGATAAACATAACTAGGTCATGCTTTATTTTATATATGTATATATATAAAATATATATATGTATATATCCCTGAATTTAATTTGCTAGTGTTTTATTTAGAGGCTCTGCATCTATGGTCATAAATGATATTGCTTTATAATATTTTTGTTTATTCTGTGCTTATTGGGTTTTGGTATTAAAGTTTAGATTCTTATAAAGTGAGTTGGCAGCTGTATTTGTTAGGGTAAAAGCTAAATCCCTATAATCAAAACACCATTCAAATCCCGTTGCTTAAATAAGATGAAAGTACATTTCTCATTTATAGTCTGGACGTGAATGGTCGAGGCTGGTGGGGCAGTTCTGCTTCATGTAGTCATTTGGAGGCCCAAGGTTATTCCAATTCGTGTCTCTGTTTTCTCCTAAGGTGCTTGTCTTCATCTACATGGCCAAAGGTGTTTCTGCTTTATGTCTATGTTCTATCCATAGAAGGGAAAGGGGAAAATAGAGAAAGTGGAGGGCAAACAATTTCCTTTTAGTAAGTATTATGTTCCCCCAAATTCAAATGTTGAAGTCCTAACCCTTATATTTCAGAATGTGACCTTCATTTGGAAATAGATTAGTTAAGATGAAGTAATACTGGAGTAGGGTGGGCCTCTAATCTAATATGACAAGTATCCTTATAAAAAGGGGAAATTTAGACATCAACACACCAAAGGGAGAATGCCAGGTGAGCATGAAGACAAAGATTAGCCATGGAATACCACAGATTTCCAGCAAAGTATAGGAAGCTAGGAGGGAGTGATAAAACAGGTATTTTCTCATGTAACTCTCAGAAAGAACCACCCCTGATGACACCTTGATCTTGGACTTCTATTCTCCTTCTACTGTAAGAAAAAACATTTCTGTTCTTCAAGCCACACAGTTTGTGGTACTTTGTTACAGCAGCCCCAGGGAAGTAAGATAGTGAGTGAAGGAGAAGTAGCACACCACTTGTGCTCAAAACTAAAGGTGAGCATTTAGTTACACAGCCACACCTACTTGCAAGAGAGGCTGAGAAATGTAGCCTATAGGTGGGCAATGTTATGCCTTGCAAAAAATCTTATCAGAAGAAGGATTTAGGAGACAACTGCCACAGGGACTGAAAACATTTGTTTAAGAGAGTTTATTTGTGGAGTGTCTGGCTGGCTCAGTTAGTAGAGCACGTGACTCTTGATCTTGGGGTTGTGAGTTTGAGCCCCACTTTGGTTATAGAGATTTTTTTTTTTAAGATTTATTTATTTACTTTAGAGAGAGAAAGAGGGGTGGAGCAGAGGGAGAAGGAGGGACAATCCCAAGCAGACTCCATGCTAAGCATGGAGCTTGTTGGCGGCTTGAGGCAGGGCTTGGTCTCATGACCCTGAGATCACGACCCTGAGCTGAAACCAAGAATCAGACACTTAACCGACTGTGCCACCCAGGTGTCCCTAGAGATTACTTTAAAAAAAGAGAGCTTATTTGTGCCTTAAATGTTCAAGAAAATGAGTCTCTAATATCATCTGGACCAGATATCTTTTAGGGTGAGAACCTTTGATTATCAATTCAAAAAATTTTAATAGTTTATTTAGACTCTAGTTGTTTTTACACCAATTTTGATAATTTATTTATATCTAGAAAAGTGTCCATTTTAACTGAGTTTTCTTTTCTTTTTTTTAAAAGATTTTATTTATTTATCTGAGAGAGAGAGAGAGAGAACGAGCAGGGGGAGTGGTAGGCAGAGGGAGAGGGGAGAAGCAGACTCCCCACTGAGCAGGAAGCGTGATTCAGGGCCTGATCCCAGGACCCTGGGATCATGACCTGTGGCAAAGGCAGAAGCTTAACTGACTGAGCCACCCAGGTGCCCCTGAGTTTTCAAATACATAAAGCTGTTGGCAGTATTTTGAAAATTTTCTGTGTAAGTAGAGACTGCGTCTTTTTTATTCTTATTATTGTTTGTTAGTGGGTCTTTCCTCTTCTAATGGTCAGGCTTGCTAGAGATTTGTCTGGTTTACTAATTTTCTCTCCAAGGAGCAGCATTTTACAATGATCCTTTCTATTTGTTTCTTTGGTTTTTGTTCCATTAATTTCTACTCTTCTCTTTTTAAAAATTTTATCTTTATTTGAAATCATACATACATATAAATTAAAAAGTTAGTCTCTAAGACTTGTTATGAAAAACAGCAGTCCCCTACTCCCTGCCTCTCATTTCCCCTTCTTCAGAAGCAACGTTTTTCAATTCTTTGAACTGATTCTTTTGGTGTTTACCTCTGTATTACTAATAATATGCTTATATTCCTGCCTCTTTATATTTCAGCTATAGGTATTATTTTCAGGTTTCCCTCTATGGACAATAAGGCTTTAGCTCTCTTTCACTGCCTTCCCCCAACCACATACAGATTTTCTTTTGTCCCTTAATCCTATCAATACCATAGTTATGGTACAACATATTTATATTATAACTATATTAACAGCAAGCCATATTATCATGACTATGTTAGCACTGAGCTGAGCCAGGCAGTACACTATGATTAATTTTCCTTTTCTGCACAGATTTTTATTTTCTCAGGAACTCATGATTGTCTTTCTTTTTCATTTGCTTAGTGTTCTATATTCATATTATTCATTCAACCCCAGTTATGTAAATCCTCTCTCTTAATGTTCAAACATTAAGCTGTCTATCACATTTAGTTTCCTGAGGAACTCTTTCCTGGAGCATTCTGATCTGCTCCAATCCAGACCGGCTGACTTCTACATTTATTACACATTCTATTATCCTGTTATCTCCTTTCACACCAACCTAGGAATTTTCATCTTTGGGAGGGCGGGGGTAGTGTCTGATTTCTTGTAGTCCATGCTTTCCTCTTTCTTGGTTTGCTTCCTTACTTTTGGTAGAACACATGTCCAGTACCTTCCTGGGAAAGGGTACTTAGGAGATACTTTAAAAATATTTCTTTGTACATCTAAAAATAGTTTTTATCTATCCTTACATTTGATTATTACTTTGGTTGAGGGTGGAGTTTTATGGTAGAAATCATTTTTCTTTAGGATTTTGAGGGCATTGCCTCATTATCTTCTAGATTCCATTTTTGCTTTTGAGAAGTTTATTCATTCTGATTCTTGATGCTGTGTGTGCGATTGGTTTCCCCTCTCTCTGGAAGCTTGTAGGAGGTTTTTTTTTTTTTTTTTTAAGATTTTATTTATCTATTTTAGAGTGCACGAACAGGGGGAGGGGCAGAAGGAGAGAGAGAGGGGAAGCAGACTCCCTGCTGATCAGAGAGCCTGATGCAGGGCTCAATCCCAGGATCCCAAGATCATGACCTGAACCGAAACCAAACGTAGACACCTAGGTGCCCCTGTAGGAGTTTTTCTGTATCCCTAATGTTTTAAAATTTTATTATGATGTGCCTTGCTACGGGTCTATTTTCATCGTTTGTGCTGTGCATTAGGTAGGCTCTTTCAGTTTCCAAACTTGTATCCTTCAGCTCTAGGAATCATTGCTTGAATGATGTCTTTGTTGAGTTCCTTCCCTCAGTTTCCCCTGAGTTCTATTTCTAGAACTCCTATTATTTGAATGTTGGACTTTCTGGACTTGTTCTCTAATTCTCTAATCCTTCTCTACTATTTTATAACTTTTTTGGGGGGGGTCTACTTTATGGGGAAAAAGTAGTGTATCTCCAAGCACAGCCAATATACCTTTATCAGTCAGGAACACAGAAACCCCCCTCTGGGTACTACAGATAGAAAGGGATTTCACATAGGGAATTGGGTGCCAACAAACTTTGGCAGGAAAATCAGGGAGTGTGCCTAATTTTCAGATTCACCACCATAGCTGTGGCCCTGAGAGTAAGGAAATTGCTGTTACCGTCCAGATATCCGGGAACTAGAGAAATCTCTGCTATCTCTCTTGTCCTGCAGCCCTGGAACAAGTGTGATGACTGGCAGGGCAGTGGAGTCTAGCCAGACCCTGCAAAAATTATGTCTGACTGTGCCTGGGTACCTGCTGCCTCAGCTGGAGGAAGAAAATGACTTCAGGCTTTAATCTGCCTTCTGAATCTTCGGTACAAAGATTGGTAAGAATACTGATAGAAATGGACAAAAACAGCCCTAGAGCACCTGGGTGGCTCAGTCAGTTAAGCGTCGGCTTTCAGTTCAGGTCATGATCCCACGGTCCTGGGATGGAGCCCCGCGCATTGGCCTCCCTGCTCAGTGGGGAGTCTCCTTCTCCCTCTCCTTCTGCCCTCCCCCGTGCAAGTATGTGCTCTCTCTCAAATAAATAAATAAATAAATAAATAAAATCTTTAAAAAAAGAAAAGAAAAGAAACAAACAAAATAGCCCTGGGGCTGGCTCAGTCAGTTAAGCAACTGATTCTGGATCTCAGCTCACATCTTGATCTCAGGATTGTAAGTTCAAGCCCCATGTTGGCTCCATGCTGGGCATGGAGCCTACTTAAGAAAAACAAAACAAAAACAACCATATGACCATTTTTCCCGTTCTATTTCTTGTAGCTCTCCCTTAGATAGAGTCTTTCAGTCTACTTCATGTCTTAATGTCTTTTATTATTTTTCCCTCTTTGCCTCTCTATACTGCACTTTGGATGATTTTCTTTTTTATCCTCTAACTCATCATTTTTTCTCTTTGACCATACTCAATCTTGAGTTAACCTGAATATTGAGGCTTAAAAAAATTCAGTGCCTATTTTTTTATATCTAAGATTTCTAATTGGTTCTCTTTTCGCCCCTAATTGGTTCTTTTCTTTCTTTCTTTCTTTTCTTTTCTTTTCTTTCTCTTTCTTTCTTTCTTTCTTTCTTTCTTTCTTTCTTTCTTTCTTTCTTTCTTTCTTTCTTCTTTCAAGATCTGTTTTATTTATTTTTTGGGGGGGGTAGAGGGGCAGAGGGATAGGATCTCAAGCAGACTCAGCCTACATGAGGCTCTATCTCATGACTCTGAGATCATGACCTGAGCCGAACTCAAGAGTTGGTCACTCAACCGACTGAGCCACCCTGGCGCCCCAAGTTGGTTCTTTTCTATGCCCACTTGTTCTTGTTATCTGTTTTCATCTAATACTTCTTGCTTATTTTTAATAGACATTATGCCTTCATGATTTCTTTGAGCAATGTAAAAATACCTGATAGTCCTTTCCATGTTACTCTATAAATTGATAACAATTGGAATGGACTCGTGTTATTGACTGATTTTACCATCTTTCTTCATTTTTTAAAATGTGTTTTGGGATTTTGGTTTGCAGATCCATTTTGAATGCCAGTTTTTCCCCTTCTGATTTGTTTTTTGTCTTTTCTTCCCTCCTCTTCCTGAATGTGCAGTTTATAGTTTTGTAGTTGCCTCCACCAAATCTCCTAAGCCCCACTTCCAGAGCAAAATCTTATTTTTTTTAAAGATTCTATTTATTTATTTGAGAGAGAGAGAGAGAGAGAGAGAGAGAGAGTGAGCATGAGTGGGGGAGGGGCAGAGGTAGGGGGAGAAGCAGACTCCCCACTGAGCGGGGAGCCAGACGTGGGACTCGATCCCGGGACTCCAGGATCATGACCTGAGCCGAAGGCAGATGCTTAACCGACTGAGCTACCCAGGCACCCCCAGAGCGAAATCTTATATGTTGTTTTCTCGGTTCCTGCTCAGTGCTAGAACAAAGCTAATGCAGATGCAGAGCTAGTGGGCAGTTCCTCATTGCAAGACCATCCTCTATTCCCACCCCCGTACCTCCCTACCTGTCCCAGAGTATCTGGAAACAGGGACCCCAATAGCTGACTGGCAGCCCCAGTCTCTATTCAGCCTCTCTTCATACACAGGAAAGCCATAATCAGGCTCTGGGTTTCAAGCCATGGATCTGGATCTGGTCCCCTGTGTCCCAGAAAAACATTTTTAAAATCTCCCGCCCCCAGCCAATGTGGAGCACAATGCAGGCCTTGAACTCACAACCCTGAGATCAAGACCTGAGCAGACAGCAAGAGTCAGGTGCTTAACCAACTGAGCCACCCAGGTGCCCCAGGAACACATTTTTAAAAGTAAACTTTTTAATTGAAGTATAACATACATATAGAAAAGCACACTAATCACAAGTGAGCAGCTGGATACGTTTTCACAGACGAAGGCCCCTGTATAACAAGGACCCAGATCAAGAAAGAGAACATTAGTGCCCTGGTGCTCTTGCCAGTCACTACCCTTTCCAAGGTAACCACACTCTGGACTTTCATAACAACCAAAGAGAACTTTGAGTCTCCAGGATGCCACAGGAGCCTAGCTTGTGGCGACCACTGGGACGCAGAGCCCAGCAACACCCTCAGTCATCGCACCACCCAGTGACTTCTGTCTCTGTTCTGCTTCTTGGTCACAGTTGTCTTGTTTTTGAACCCAGCTTTGTGTGTTGGGTGATTTTTAAAAATGTTTTATTCATCATGGCTTTGTGGTTGGGGTAGAGAACTCAACACTCCATTTTTAAAAAATGGAGATATAGTTGACAAACATTCCATTAGTTTCAGGCATCCAACATAATGATTCAATATTTGTATAGATTGTGAAATGGCCATGATGAGCTTAGTTAACATTCATCGCCACCCATAGTTACAAATATTTTTTCTTATGATGAGAACTTGTAAGATTTACTCCCTTAGCAACTTTCACATACACAGTACAGTGTTAGTAAATATTGTCACCATGCTGTACATTACACCCCCGGGACTTATTTGTCTTATAACTGGCATTTTGTACCTTTGGACTTCCTTCATCCATTTCTCTCACCCCTGCCCTGGCAGCCACCAGAATCTGTTGTCGGTATCGATGAGATTGGTTTTTGTCAGCATCCACATGTAAGTGAGATCATACAGCGTTTGTATTTCTCTGTGTGACTTACTTCACGTAACATACTGCCCTCATGGTCCATCCCATGTTGTCACAAATGGCAGGAGTTCCTTCTTTTTTATAGCTGAATCTATTCCATTGAGCATATACCACAACTTCTTTATCCATTCAGCCATTGATGGGACTTAGTCGCTTGCATGTCTTGGCTACTGTGAACAATGCTGCAATGAACTTGGGGGTGCAGATATCTTTTCAAGTTAGCGTTTTCGTTTCCTTCAGAGAAGTGCCCAGAGGTGGAGCTGCTGGATCGACTGAATGGTAAGTTCTACTTCGAATTTTTTTGAGGAAACTCTGTACTGTTTTCCACTCTGGCCAATTTCACCATTCCATTTTGACTGGAGGTCCAGTAGGACCCACTGAGGGAACTCACTACTGGCTGAGGACCAGGGAAATGGTAGTAGACAGGCTGGGTTGAGCGCATAGAGAGCTTGGCATGCTCACTCATAAAGTCAGACTCTGTCCTCTAAGTAGCAGATGGATGATGGACAACAGCATGCAGGCAAGTGAAGTGATTTTACACCTATGCCACGTAGAAATACTTCTCTGGCTAACCTAGAGAGGATGGGGTGAAGAAGAGCCACACAAAGTCAAGGTGACCAGATAAGAGGGTAATGCCAGTAATCTGGGCGAGACATGGCCAAGGCTCCGTGAAAGCAGTGGTGGCAAATGTGGTGGGATTCCAGAGACACATGTGGGAGAGCAATACGAGAGGGTGAATCAGATGGAAGTCAAAGGTGATTTTCAGGTTCTGGAAAACTGGCGGGAGGTCTTGCAGCTTGTTGAGCTCATGGAATGCAAGGGAAGGAGCGGTTTGTAAGAATTCCCTTTATTTCACAGTTTTGTTAGTGGTTGGCTCTGCATGTCCTCTCTCAAGGTTTTGGTCCCATGGCTCACCTGACAGACACATGTTTTTGAGTCCCTGGCTTGGAGGGCTGAAACCTGGGGAGAGAGGGATGAGTTAGAAGACAGTGCTACCCTCAGGCTGGGGCTCACTAGAGTAGGCATTCCTTGGAGTTCAGGAAATGCCCATCCACAGGAATCTGTGTGGGTGCCCAGATTCCACCAAAGCTTGGGACCCTTTGAGAAAACTAGGGGGTGGGAAGCAGAGAGAGTCAAGTGTATGAGAAATAAATAGAGACACAGAGAAAGACAGACCCGGGGGCAAGGAATTCCACTTTCCTTTCTTTTGGTTAGTCAGAATTCAGTCCTTTACCGCCTGAATAGAAACTTCTGCTCTTAAAGGTTCTTTATTACCTAGAATTCAGCCTCCTACTGTAGATCCCCCCACCAAAGAGAGATCCACAGGAGGGGTGGATAATTGGATAATTCAGTGGCTGGATACAAAGGAGTCTTGGAGTTAGGAGGGTAAATTTTGCCTTCTCTGTGACCCTGCAGAAGATGTTTGGGAGGTCTACAATGTCTCCCCCTCCTGCCCCTTCTCTGTCTCTCTTCACCCTCAACCTCTCTCTGAACTTCAGTCCTCCTCAGCTTTTCCATTAGCCAGGCTGGGTGTGGCCATCCTCCCCGCCTGCACAGACTGTTATCTGAATCCCTAGCAGTCTGAGTGGGTTCCAGAAACACGTCACTGGAGTCTGGAGCTTCCAGAGTCAGCTGAGACCCTGGAAGTTTATTCTGTGGAGGGTCAACGCACAGAAGGCTGAGTGCGGAATAAGCTGGAACACATCCCCTTATCTCTCTAGGCCTCACGCTAAGCTCCTATGGAAACAGATGGGCCCTGCTGTCATAGTCTTGCTCACACTCTTATTCTCATTATTTATTTTAGACAGAAACAGAATAATAGGATGTTAGGAACTGTGAAATTATAATCCAACCCCTGCATTCCGTACATGAGGCTCAGGAAGGTGAAATCACTTGTTCAAGGTCAAACCAGGAACATTTCACTTTGCTCTCCCCCTCCCCACCCCATCCTTGGCTCCCAGAGGGCTTTAGGGCCAACATAGTGAGCTCTGTGGTGGCTTTACTCTTGCCCGGAGAGATGCTGACAACCTTTGTGGGGAGGGCTGGGAGCAACTTGGTCCCATGGGGAAGGGCAGTGTAGGATCTGAATTTGAGGTCTCATCAAAATCTGGGGTCCTTGCATTTCTCTGCAGCCATGAACACAGGACAGGCTGCTTATATTCAGTGGGTCTCACCCCTGCAGGCCCCTGCACCTGGGATTGGAGGAATGAATAGGGACCTTGTTTGGTAGGAATTTCTTTCCTCTGCTGTTTGCTTTGGGTTTTTTCCCTCTCCATTCCTGGCTGCTAACCCAATATTTGGCTTTCTATGAGCACTAAATATAATTCTTCATTTAACCCCCAGAATCATGGTTTCCTACCTGCTTCCCACAACCGGATCCACAGCCTGGAATAAAAACAGAACCCAGAGGGCATCAGCAACTCAGGGCTGGGAGGGTAGGGGTGGGGGTTCCGGGGAGGGGGAGGAGGAGCAGAGGGAGGGAGAGAGGGAGGGAGCACTCACCCACACTGGGCATCTCTCAGACATCCTGAGAAGGAGAGGGACAGAGCGAGGGAGGCGACTCATTGGCTTCTGGCCTGCTCCCTGCAACCAGGGCCCTGATCCTTTTCTCCTTACCTAAACAGAAGCCTGGTCCCCACCCGCGGCACCTCGGGGCATCCCAGCATTCCAGGTTCAGGGAATGGAGGGCCTCTGTGCAGGGCCCCCCCCCCCCCCCTCCTGCTCTCCTCACTGTGAGCGGCCAAGACAGCCACACAGCAGGCAAGAGCTAAATCAGACTGGGCAGTGGAAAATTCCCCTCTGGAGCCTCCCGGGAAGAGCTGCAGCAGCTGCTATTGACCAGGGCCGGTGAGGCACCTGGCTTTCAGGTCCCCTACGTAGGCCGAGCCCCCCAGCCAGGGAGAAGGTGGCTGGGCCGGAGGGAGAGTCAGGGGCCCTGCTCCCCCAGCACTGGCCCATGGGAATGCCTGGCGAAAATCTTTTAAATCAGAGGCCGTTTTCCAGATTTGGGAGCCCGGGGCGGTACATTCCGTCTCCCTCTGCTTGAGCAGGAAAACAGGAGACAGAGCTTCCTACCACCTGATTTACAGCCTTGGCGTCTTTTTGACACACAAATCACTCCGGAGCGGGAGGCTCAATTCTGGTTGTGCAGATGCAGTGCCGGCAGGCGCTTCCTGCCTGGGTGGGGAGGGCCGCGCTCAGCCTCACACTGGCCTCATCCCCTGAGGCGTGGGAGCCTCGGCCCCACCTGAAACCCTGTCCACCGCCGGCTCCCACATGTGCCTGGCACCCCAGTGGACCGTGTTGCGTCCTGGGGTTGGCAGTCGATGGCCAGGCAGGAGGCAGGTGGTTAAGCAGGCCATTCTGACCTCCCTCTGTCCCCTTGACCTCTTCCTCGCTTGGACCTGACTTCATTTCTTTGCCAGGCGCTGAGCACCGTGGTAGCTGCTGAGGACACAGAATAACAGCAGGAGCAGCAACAACAACAACAATAATGCCCGCTCTTAGTGCCATAAGGAAGGTGAGACAGGAACGCATGTGCCTGCAACAAAAGGCAGAATGCAGTTAGGGCCACAAAGCAGGTTCCAGACAAGGGCCCTGGGGATTCAAAGATCTCCCTCCCCAGCTGGGGGCAGAGGAGGCTTCCCTGGGAGGTGACAGCAATGTTTGTGCCTGGGGCAGGAGATGCCCTCGCTACAAGGCTGACGTGGGTCTATGGGGATTTCCTGAGGAAGGCCAGATCTAGAACTTCCCTATTTTCTCTCTCCACCCCACTCCCAACTAAAACCTGCTCAGAGTGCCTGCTCCTTTTTACTCTTAGATTAGTGAAACCCAGGTGTCAGGGTCTGCCCTTCTGTCAGGAGCCATGGGGTTTCTTCAAGGCTGACACCAGGCAGCCATCAGCCCTCTGCCTGCCCCGCTCGCAGCACCCGGGCGCTCAGCTCTCCCTGTAAAGTAAGGAGTGCTTTGGGCACCCGTTCAACTCTTACCTCTTGTGAGAGGGTCTTCCTGCAAGACTTCAGTGGATTTGGCTGATCTAACTGACTAGCTTTGGTTGTGGGGGAGGGTGTCTCCTTATCTCCTTCCCATTCCCGGAACTGGGTGCTGGTTCTCTGGCCAGGGTGGTCTGCCACTCAGTGCTAGCTTCTCTGCCCCCACTCCTCCCACGCCTCAAGGGGAAGCCTCCCCTGTGCTCTCCACGGGATGTGGTATGGGTGCTGCTTTATCCCACACCAACGTCAGTAATAGAGCCCAGGTCACATCCGGGCTGACCTGGGTGCTGGGGCCACAAAGATAAAGGAGAAGATCTCCCTGGCCTGGAGGAAGTTACAGCCCATTAACATTTGGATGTTGCTCTCCCCATTAGAAAGCACTTAGACTCACGGGCTGCATTTGGCTTCCCTCACAGGGCTGGGAGGTGGCTTGGGAAGGTGCGGTTGCTGCTACTCCCAAGACGGAGACAGGTGATACAAAGCTGAGGTTCTTGGTGTTTTGCCCACATCTTGCCATCAGCTGGGGGGACTGGCTTTCAAGTCCTACTCTTGCTACTGTGATCTTGGGTCGTTTTCCATAAAAGACCAACCTCACCAGGTTGTTGTAAAGATCAAACGTGGGACAGAACATTTGTCTGGTGCGTAGAAGGCATACACCGTAAGGTTCATGTTCCATTCTTGGGCACAGGGGCACATTTTATATTTAGGTGAATCTCCCTGAACGTTGATTGAGATGGAAGTCCCTGCTTCCATCTCTCTCCCCTTCCCTTGATTCTTTATAAGGGTGAGGGGGGCTGGGATGAGGCTGGGGCGAGGGAGGACGGTGCTGCTCACGGGGGAGGAGAGAATCTGGGGCTTTATTAACACGGGAACCGCATCCCTGGCTCATCCCAGTGGGCGGAGGCTGGACGTGTGGGTATCCTGCCCCGCCTGCTGGCGGAGGCAACTTATGGATTTGGTGACAGATTCTTCTGAAGACATGAATGAAGCAATTGTGCACTTGGTGTAGAAAAGATTCCAGATAGAGGAGATGTTTTCAATGGCAATAACCCTGAGATGAAGTATTTCACCGAATCAACAGAGTTATCGGCGCCGGCTTCCCTTTGATGGTCCTGTGAGCACCTGTAAGCCTCCGAAGCTGTTCTTGGCATGGATGGACCATGTCTGAAAGCTTTTATTCTCTTCTTCTCTTCTTCACCCCTCCTACCTCCTGGGGGGGGGGAATTCCTAACTCAAATCCTTGGACAACAAAGGCAGCTAACGGAATCCCAGAATCCCGGTAGGTGAGGTCCCAAAGCAGAAAAACCGCTTCCATGTAACTCCACAGATGACCCTCCTGCCTCAGCACTGGCTTCAGAAACATCTGATGACCGGATTAAGAGGGGCCTCTGAGGAGTCTGGAGGGCTTTGTGGGGAGAAGGGCCCCGTCACCTGTTTATCAGAGTTTAAGAGGATAGGTGAGGGCTGGCTGAGGGCAGAGATGGACTTGCAGAAGGTTTGCTTGGTGAAGACTAGATTTTTAAAAATCCTCTTCTGGAAGCTGGCTGTGAGGGTGGCCGGGCCAGAGCGGGGGAGAGCCCCAGGCTTCTCAACCCTGGAGGGCAGGCCCATTTGATGCTGAGGAGAACCATATAGCACTGAGCATGAAGCAGAAAGAATGGGGTGTGGCTGGGGATGGAGGGTGAGATTTGGGGTTTGGAGGAGGGGACAGTGCTGGTCTGGAGATTTCAGGGGAGGTGATTCCCTTCTCTTCTAAAGACTTAGAATCCTCTTCTATCTTGGCCTTAGAATTCGTAAGAAGGTACCCTCAAACCGAATATTCTGGATGTGCCAGGGATTGCCTGGGGAGTGCTGAGAAAGGGGAAGGCTTGGCAGTGCAGAGGAGCCCCCAGGTGCCAAGCTCCCCTAGGTGGCACCTTGGCCTGTGGTAGTGTCAGCCAGGCCAGTGTCCTTTTACTGACACCACAGCCAGGCCGGGCAACGTGGTGGCCCTGGAGGGGGGGGGATGGGGAGGGGGGAGTGAGGTCAGAAACAGAAACTGTAATTAAATCTTTTTTTACCCACCCTCACCCCCAGCAGGAAGTTATTCTTGGTGCTCAGTGAGGGGGAAGAAGGGGCGGAGTGTGAGCAAAAAGGTCGCTTTTGACCTTGTGGCCTTCCTGGTGATGGGGTGGAGAGGTTTTTAGATTGAAGAAGAGATTTCCTAGAGCATTTTCTGGAAATAGTGACCAAGACCTTGAGCTTGCCTCTTGCCAGACTCTACTGCTACTTTGAGGCAGAGGCAAGGCCAGAGCATGGGACATTGGCATTCTCTAGCTAAGCCCAGCTCCCCACTCCTCTTCCCTTGGACATCAGGGTTGAGTGGGGACAATACCCTGGAGACACAAATGTTGTCACCACTCTTGTGTAGGTGGAGGCAGGTGTGACTGTGGGTCAGCCAGGGGCTTGTGTTTTCCAGATCAGGGGCCTGTGTGTTGGCCATGGTCTTGGAAACATGCTCCATCAGCAGCCCCTCCTGCACCTCCTCCTCTTCCCCTGCAGTCAGACGAGGGTGGGGACTCCGGGCCTGAGGATGCTGAGCGAGAAAGCAGAGGCACAAGGTTAGATGTTTTGCCAGGGCTCCCCTTCCTGTCTCTGCTTGCAGGGGCTGTTGGGAAGAGCTGTCCGTCCCTCCTGTGTGCTCTTCACCCCGCCAGCCCCCAAGCCCTGTCCTCTCCCCGCCTCAAATTGAAGCCAGGACCAAGGAACGTGGCCAAGAGTGCAGCTTGCTGTGGTCCCCTGCGGAAAGGATTCTAGCATCTCTCATCTGACAACAGCCAGAGTCGACAAGATATAGAACGTGGGGTTCAAGCTCTTGGAGCAGGGACTGCAAACGCTTCACCTTCAGGAAGAAAAATGACCGGCCACGCAGGGAGTTGCCTCCAAATGAAGACTCAGGATGCTGTTCTGCACCAGCTGCTCCTTGGGGCAAAATTCTCTTCCACTTGCATTTATATATATATAAAATATCTGGGGTGCCTGGGTGGCTCAGTTGTTGAGCGTCTGCCTTCAGCTCAGGTCATGATCCCGGGGTCCTGGGATCGAGCCCCGCATCGGGCTCCCTGCTCCACGGGAAGCCTGCTTCTCCCTCTCCCACTCCCCCTGCTTGTGTTCCCTCTCTCGCTGTGTCTGTCTCTCTCTGTGTCAAATAAAATAAAATCTTTAAAAAAATAATAAAATAAAATCTCCATCTCATGGGGAGCATCTCTCTTCTTTAGTTCCTTCCTCCTGGAGCTCACCCTCTCCGTCCGCCCCGCCCCACCCGTGGGGCCAGCTGGAGCTGGAAGCATTTCCCACACGTGCATGTTCAATTTCCTTTGGGCCAAGAAGCGTTCGTCACCCTGACCGTGGCAGCGTGCTGCCATCACCAGCATCTCCACCGACGCTGACCGGGCTGGGGGCAGGAGGAGGGTTCTGGCAGGGCGCTTATCCGAACGGTGGCTGGGGCTGTCCAACTCTGCCCTCACATCCAGGATGCTTCCCCTCCTCACCCTCCACCTCCACCCACTGCCAGTCCTGCTGTGTCTTGTCCGTGTGTGGCGGCCCCTATGCATACACGCACGTTCGTGCACACACATGCTATCCAACACCTCTGCGTTGTTTGCCTCCCTTATGGGACTACAATTTCCAGGAAGAACTTCCAGATGGACCCCCATCCCCCCAGCCACTACCATCCCACCTCATTCAAAACACACCCATTCAGTTTAGGTGTCCCTTGATCTCTCTGTTTTTTGCTGCTATTGGCCACTTCCTCCTTCTCGAAAACTCTCATCTGTAATGCTTTCCATTGTGATTGCCCCCCTAACATCTATTCTTTCTATTTTTGGTAATATGGTAATTACCTTGTTTTTTAAAATTATTATTATTATTATTTTTTTAAGTAATCTCTACACCCAACATGGGGCTCGAATTTACAATCTCGAGATCAAGAGTCACATGCTCTGGGGCGCCTGGGTGGCTCAGTCGTTAAGCGTCTGCCTTCGGCTCAGGTCATGATCCCAGGGTCCTGGGATCAAGCCCCGCATCGGGCTCCCTGCTCCGCGGGAGGCCTGCTTCTCCCTCTCCCACTCCCCCTGCTTGTGTTGCCTCTCTCGCTGTGTCTCTCTCTGTCAAATAAATAAATCAAAAAAATCAAAAAAAAAAAAAAAGAGTCACATGCTCTACTTACTGAGCCAGCCAGGTGCCCCTACCCTGTTTTTTATTTAAGAAATCTACTCCTCTGTCTATGTGTTTTGTGGAAAATCAGCTCTGTCCCATGCTCTGAGTCTGGGGAAAATGGTTTTGGCATAAACTGGTCAGAGACACAGAAATTGGTTCAGGGGCGGGAATGTGACCAAATTCGAGTCAATGAGCTTGGGAAAAATTGGTGTGTTGGTCTCTTTGCCCTGGGCTTGGAGGGGGTGGTATGAAACCTAGGAGCCTGGGCAGTTGGCATTAGAAGAAAGCCAATCCTGCAGAAGGCAGAGCCAACAGCCTGAAAGAAGCTGGGTCCTTGAAGTCCGTTGAGCAGCTGAATCAAACTGAACCTGAAGTCTCTATACATGTACTTTTTTTTTTTTTTTTAAGATTTATTTGTTTATTTTAGAGAGAGAGCACAAGCAGGAGGGGCAGAGGGAGAGGGAATCTCAAGCAGACTCTGTGCTGAGTGCAGAGCCCATCGCGGGGCTCAATCTCATGACCCTGAGATCATGACCTGAGCCGAAACCAAGAGTCTGACACTTAATCGACTGTGCAACTCAGCTGCCCCTACGTGTATCTTTAAATCGCTTTTATTATCTAGGCCAGTTTGAATTGGCTTTTTGGGTTACATGCAGGAAAGTCCTAATGCATTCACCCTCTTTCTCCCCTGATTTTTCTTCTTCTTTTTTTTTTTTAAAGATTTTATTTATTTATTTGAGAGAGAGAATGAGAGACAGAGAGCATGAGAGGGAGGAAGGTCAGAGGGAGAAGCAGACTCCCTGCCGAGCAGGGAGCCCGATGCGGGACTCCATCCCGGGACTGCAGGATCATGACCTGAGCCGAAGGCAGTCGCTTAACCAACTGAGCCACCCAGGCGCCCCCCCTGGTTTTTCTTCTATCTCTTTGTTCACTCCTTTCAACTTTTCCTAGGCTTCTCTTCCTTCCACTTTCTATTATATGAGGATGTTCCTGGGTGGTGGTGGTGGGGTTATCCTCCTTGTTCTTTACAAACTGGATGACCTCAGTTATGTGTATGACTGCATTTGCCATTGTCTTCTAAACCTGTAACACCAGAGGTCCAGGTAGGACTATCTAACAGCTTTCCAGAATCTCTTACTTGTCCCACAAATACTTCAAACTCAATAAGTTCACAACTGAGCTTTTCATCATTCTCCACAACTCTGTTCCTTGTCTGTGTTTCTTACCTTTGTTAATAGCTCGACCACCTCCCTGCTGACCAAGCTGGAAGCTGGGTGTCATCTCCCTTCTTGCATATCCTCACATCTGCTTAGTCACCGTGTCCTGTCCATTCTCCCCCCTGAGGTCCACCCGATCTGCCCCTTCTGTCCTGTCCTCACCTGCATTGCTGTACTTCAGCTGTCCATCACCTCTCACCAGACACAGGCAGGGTCCTGCACCTCTGGCCACTGTCTAAAATGTTAACCTGACCATGCCTGCACTCTGCCCAAAGCAGAGGTGTTCTCCTTTCCCATCTAAGCTCCAGCTCCCAGAACCATCACTGTTCTAGGCCTTCCTATCTTCTGGAAGATTCTGGGTCTTCTGGCCCTTTGCCTATGGCTCTTCCCTTGTCTTTAGCTCTCACCCTCCCCGCTCTCCTTTCCCTAAACTTTTACTGTTCTTCAGGGGGTCTACCCCCCTCACCCCCCGGTTTGCAGCCCCCAGGCTAGCTGTTAACTGCTGTGTCTAGGAGCCTTCCATGCTGACCCCTCAGCCTTGTCACGTTGCCCAGCTTTGAGACTGTAAGCTCCTTGAGGGCTAGAACATGAACTCCCAGCCCTTCCTACAGTGCCTCATATACAACCCATGACCTATATCCCAATACCTGCTCCTTAGCTCCCACCTCTGGCCGTGAGCAAAGTGAAGATAAAGCACTTGGCCTTTAGTGAGTGCTCAGTAGCTGTCCAGAAAGCCAATAACTGAACAAATGAATGATTGAGTGGGCCAGGAGCTTGCGCCTTGGAGCTCTGCCCCAGGAGCCCACCACCTGCCGCGCTGTCCTTGTTTGTGAGGACAGCAACCCCATTCAGCCCTGAGATGAGTTTCTCCCGTGGCTTCTCCTCCTAAGGTGCTCCCTGAGGCTGAATTGTCCCCCATCCTTAGGTCATCACAGGAGACCATCCCATGCTGGAGCAGGAGGGGGAGGGTGGAGCACCCTGGAGGTCAGCCATCTGACAGGTGGCAGCAGGTGTGAAGGGGAATGGAGATGTTTTAGCCTCACCCCCCCACCCCGCCCCGGGGCCTAGGAGGGAATTCTAGGGACGGTTAAGACCACTTTGATACCCAGAATTTCCAGGAAAGTCCTTTTTCCCACTTTTGGGGCAGACCCAGAGAATCTTCCAGGCTGCTGGGGAGTACCAGGTGGGGGAGCAGAGGCATGGGCTTAAGGGGGACAGAGAGTCTCTGGCTGCTTTGGCTGCTCCCCCCCCCCCCCACCCCATTCATGTGCCCTGCCCTCATTCTGCCAGACCCAGCTCTGGCCACCTCTCTCCTGAGGCCTTCCTGGACCACCAGCACATGAGCCACACTTCTGGGGGTGGGGACTCTCTGTTCCTCTTTCAGGCAGGTCCTGAGGCCTGAGCACTTGAACCTGCAAGCTTGCAGATTCCAAGTGGGAAGGTAGCGGATCCCAGGGCAGCTGCGGCGGGCGAGAGGGCACCTGTTCTGGACTGCGAGTTCTGAATGATGGTGAACAACCACAGGATGGGAACTCACTATGATGCCTCATCGTCTTTCCAGCAGGCCGTCTTAAT